CCGTGCTATTTACACCATCACTGGTACACGTATTTCGCGCTCGGATTTGCGGTCCCTCGTTCAGGCAGTGCAGGAGGAGATGAAGGAAGAGGCACATGCGAGAAAGACGCCTCTTGGAGTTGATCTCCCGCCCAGAGCAAATTCACTGGAAACGAGCATTTCGCCGAATGCGGATGGCGAGAACGACGCTGTCGACTCCAGCCTTTTTGTTGCTGTGGTACTGAAGACACTGAATCGACACACCTACGAGCAGGAGTTGCTTTTTACGTTTCATTTGCTGGAGGACAAGAACTATCCCGGGTTTATAACGAAGGATAGCCTTAAGAAGGCTGCGGCAGAGATGGAGGAGCACCTGACAGATCAGGAAGTAAATGAGATGTTTGATAAACTAGTGACTGGAATTTCATCTTCCGCAGTGGATTTTACGACTTTTGCTTCCGTTTTGGAAGCGGCAAAGCGCATGGACGATTGATTTGACCGAGTTCTATTAAATTGTTTGAATATATCTGTGTGTGTTTACGTGGATGTAAAGGGTGGTTTGCTTGCTCTACGGATGAAGATATATTATATATATATATATATATATGCAGACATGTACCGCCGGGGAATGAAAGAGAGTTTTAGTTGCCCCTTTCAATTGTTTTCTTTTTCTTTTTTTTGTTGTCGTTGTTGCTGTTGTTGTTTTTCCTTTTAATGATTTGTGTGGTTGTTTGTATTCTGTAGTCCTGTCCATTTGTTTTAGTTTTGTTTTTTGTTGTTTTTTTCTCCCGTGATTTTTGTTTTGCCTCTGCTTCCGAAAGGTGTGTGTGCGTGTCTTCTTCTTTTTTTCTTTTAGACGTGCCACGGCTTCTCTTCTCTCGGATGACCTCCGCATCCGTCTGTCCGCTCTGCGCGCGCAGCTTTAACATGTTGCTCTGGAAGCACGCGTGTGACTGCTGCAGGAAAACCGTTTGTGATGATTGTGCGCCCAAAGTAAATGGTAGGCGTGAGTGCCGTGCTTGCGCTGCGAAGGCAAAAGAACAGCAATCGCGGCAGCGAAATCCGTCAAATCCCGCATCGGCGGAGGAGGAGCGGGCTGCACGTATGCGGGCCGCTGAGGAACGCATGAGGGCGGAGCAGCAGCGTGGTAGGCCACAGAGTCGGGGCGTGCAGAGGCCTGGACCCCCAGTGACAGCGCCTCCAAAAGAATTTTCGCTGCAGCAGGATCGCGACTACGGCACGCCGTCGCCATCGCCACATGCCGGGGCGCCAACGCGAGCAAATGCAGAGGAAAACCCTGTTCTGGCTGCAGCGCTTCGTCGCCGGCAGCAAGAGCAGTTGGGCATGAAGGCCAACTGGGAAAACTCCTCCGAGAAGACGAGACTATTGACTGCGATTCTTGAGGTTCTTCATCAGCGGGGAGAAGAGGAGCCGTTTGGTCTTCGCTCAATGGATGAGGCGAAGCTTCAAGCATACCTACGCTATGTTAAAAACAGGGACAAGAAATCTGGTAGCGTCTAGGAGGGAGAAGAAAAACAAAAGAAGAAACGTTTTTTATATATTTTTATATATATGGCTGGTCTTCCTTTTTGGAGCTATTATTCTCTAATTGTCAAAGTGTGTTAAATTGGGTGTTTAGAGCTTCAGGAACACATTCTTGATTGACTGTGACTGTGACTGTGTGTGTGTGGGCTTGCGCGCGTTTACGATTGCGAAAACCGAGTGTTAGGGTCCTTTTTGTTTTTTTGTTCGCTTTTGCTTGCTTTCGCCGCCCGTGTTTTGCGTGTGCAAACAAAACCTCTCCCTTGTACTCTTTTTGTCTCTCTCTTTGTTTTGTGTGCATGACTGGGGTGAAGAGGAAGAAGGGAGGGGTGGTGTCAGGCATTCCCTCATTTTTCAAGCATACGCATTCAGCACACACACACGCACACAGAGAGAGAGAAATACACATACTTCTTCCCCTGACACTTAGACTTATGGAAAAGGCATTTGAAGGCGCTAAGCGTCGTCCCCGCGGCGTGCAGGACCTCCCTCATGCGTCTGCATATTCAATGCGAAAAACGCACGGGCGCTGCGTCCCACAAAGTGCCCCGGAGAATGAACGGAGGGGCAAAAGTGCCGAAGCAGGCAAGACGAGCGGCGACAGAAACTGCTGTGGGAATTCTGCGAACGACGTGGCTGGCAGTAAAACGGCGATGACGAAGGTGGGGGCAGCTGAAGCAGTGAAGAGTGACAATATAGAAGAGATATTGATTGATTCTCCTACTTATGATGACGACAACCCCGACACCTCATCCGAGAATGCGAGGGCGGGTGATTGTGACGGTGGCCCGACGCTGATGGAATTGGCCATGTGGGAGGCCGAGGTCACCAGAAGGCAGGCTGAGGTGGCGAGGGACGTTGGGTGCATCCGCAATTCTTTGGCCGTCTTAGATGCCTACATGGATGATGCAGCGGTTAACAAACATAGTACTGGACCATTGGAAAAAGTGCCAAAAGACATGGGGGTGGGAAACAAGAGGGAAGTAGTTGCACTGAAGATGAGTCCAAAAAAGGCCATTGGTGGACAGACAGCGGTGGCCAAAGATATCGTTCTCAGTTCTGATGGCGATGATGATTACTTACAGTTGACGCCGAGCCGAGGAGAAAAGCCTCCGGCAAGGGCAGGAGGTGCCAGGACTGTGCCCAACAAGAAGGTGACAATTGACGTTACAGACCTTTAATGGGGATCATACCTTTTTTTCTTCTTTCCAACTTTTCTCTTCTGTAGTTTGTTACTATTTGTTGTTGCTTTTGTTGTTTATTTTGGATATCGTGAAATATGGACGAAAGGGAGGAAGAAGAGCGCTTTATATATATATATATATATATCTGCGTGTGTATGTGTGTGTGTGTGTTTTGCTGTCCAGTCTTATTCTCTCCCTGCAGTGCGTACGGCAGGGAATGTATACATCACTTAACTTTTTCCTTGTTTTTCGCCCAGGAACGCCTTTGAACCTTGCGGTGGGCTCGCGTGCAGCCTGTGCGGCGTGGGACAGAGGAAAAAGAGGGTCAACACTGAAAGGGAAAAAATGAACGATGTACAAATTGGTGTGTTAGTGGCGATGTGTGTGGTGTTCGTTGTCGTCGCCTCAGTGTTGTTCTTTCTGCTCCGGCTATGGGGCTGCCGGCGCCGCACGGATCGAAAGCGGGCGGACGCCGATCCGCCCAAGGGAGGTGAGTACGTGCTGCACTTCATTGACTTTTCAGGGACCCCGCGTTCTTTCGACGTTCGAGCAATGGCCATCACGGATGCGAGGTCGCTACAGTCTGCCCTGGCGGAGGCATGCGGGCTACCGGATGATACATCTTTAACGCTGCTGTGTCCGAATGGTATGGGACAACATGTGGAGATGGACCTTAACCAGCTGGTCTTTCCCGACAATCAGCTGGAATCACGCATGCGTCACACGGAGGAGCAGCCGCTGCTATTATCCCGAGAACTGAGCGATCCCCAATCCACCGGCACGGTGCGTCAACTGGTGGAACCCTCCCAGCAAAACTATTATAATGGAATTGATGTGAGCTACACGCGTAGTAGTAGTTGCGTGAAAAACGCGGGCGACGTTTCGCATGGACCAGAAACTACGGGGGATGTGCCTTCTCCTATCATTTTGCCACTTTGTTCCCGAATTGGTTCCGCCACGCCGGTAAGCATCGCAGCGGTGCGGTACGTCGTGCAGGGCAGTGACACCTTACTTGACAAGGACGCTGCGGCTTTCGTTGAGGAGGCGATGATGGGCAGCACGAGGCGCACCGTGACACTCCCATGCGGTGCTCGTGTCATTGTGTTGCCTAGTGAACGTGCGGCATGGCTGCTTGATGATTACGACAGAAACGTGGGGGTCCCATTAATTAGAGAAGCGGCGGAGGTCGTACAATACAATGTGGGCAACATGGGTTCGGCACAGTGGCGCCCGTACAAGCACCCCATTTTCCTTCCACCCGGGCGTTGGTGCATCTGCGCAGAGTCCTCGACTGCCGATCACCGATTTGTTGAAACCGCCTCCCGCGTTTTTACTGTCGATATTGTGCCGCGGAAACGTTGAAGTGTTGGAAGGATCAATATCATCATACGAGACATCCGTCTAACAAACATGCTGTGCGAGGGACTGAAAGGAAAGCAGAAAGACGCAGGGAACTGCTGATTCCTACGGTCGTTCATCTACGCAAGCTAGAGGCACAAGGAATACTTGGGTCCTTTTCATAAACCGGTACAAACGCACGCACGCATACGCGCTTTATTTTTCTAAACTGGCTGAAACGTCAGCCGAATGGGGGAGCGTTAAGGAAGATGGGAAGGCGAGAATTCCGTGCAGAGAGGTCCATGTGCATACATAGATATTTTAATTGAAGGAGGTGTTGTGGGCAATTATGTCTTCACATGACATCTATATCTTTGTTTCTTGTGTGCTATTTGTTCTTCTTTTTATTGTACTGCCCCCACAACGACCCCATGTGTTGGGTCTTTATTTTTGCTCTCTTTTTCTCTTATTTTTTTTAGCCTGGCCTTGCTGCTCTCTCCCTTTCTAGATATAACTGACGCGGGAAACAAACAAAATTGTGGGGAGCGGGAAATACATATAACAAATGCTTTCAGCCCTTCTCTCTGAGATTACTGCGGCGCCAACCAGAACGCGGCAAAATGCGGAACTTGAGACCGCTCTGGAGCATCATTTGTCCGAACTTGTTGTTCAGCACCGTCTCTTGAAAGCTGCGTTGCTCAATCTGATAGAGTTGGGGCAGCAGACAGCAGTGGGAGCAACTCCTGATGCGGACGCCGTAATTTTTGACAAAATCACCTCCGAAGGCGGTACTGTCTTAACGTGTGGCATCACACTTGGCATGACTTATCTGACAACAGCTCTCATCCTTAGTGGACATGCCATAGAAAGTGAAAACGCCGTTGTTGTTCTGAATGTTGTGGAGTGTCACCTGTTATCATCCGCTTCCACCGCTTACAACCATCTTCGTGGTCACAATTATGCCTTGCAGCGGTTTGAACAATTGCTGAATGGCTACGTTAATATCCTCGACCTTCGAGATCCGATGAATTATCAACGAAAGTTGTTTTATCTTCACCAGGCGGCCGTCAGTTTCTCTCCCTCACCAGAGTACCTCAGCGTCGCCCACGCACTGCTGGTGCGTGAAGCGACTCGCTGCCGTTGTCCGTGGCCCGCGCTTGCCGTTATGCGTCAACCCATACTTGAGGTGTCACCAGCAGACACTGGTGCGGGTCTCGCATGTTTTCATAGTTACTACTGCAGTGGCGGCCTCTTGCTCGCTGCAATGCAATGTTGGGAGGATGCCACAGTGTGGCTACGCTCCGCTCTTTGTATGTCCAAAAACTTGCAGCGCAAATCGGCATTGGAAGCCCAAGCAGAAGTAGCAGTAACGACCACAGCAACCTTCTCAGCATCACCCACAACTGCATTGGGTGAGAGTGGTGAGATCCGTGACACGCTGTTGAGGGCGGCGAAGGCCTTCATCCTCGTTTCTATTATATCTCAAGGTGACCTCCATAACCCTGCTGACCGCAGGCGAGCACAACGCGTCATGCAGCAATTCCGTGGCGGTAACGCCGATCCCTACTTTAGGCTGCTTTCCGCGGCGGCCAAACGTGATGGGAAATTGTGGGGCACCCTTGAGAAGCACTTTGAGTCCCTCTGGAAGCAAGAAGGGATGGCGGAACTTGTTGCTGAGGCCGGTCTTCGCTTGCGACGTCATGTCATTCGCGACATGGCAAGGGTAGCGAATCGGGTGTATATATCTGACATCCTCTCTGCTTTACGCACCCACTCCCTTTTGGAGATGGGTGACGTCGATGGTGCGAAAGAAATACCTGCCTTAATTCAGACGCTGTTGAATATGCAGGAGGAAGGGGAATTGCTCATCCGTCTTGAGAATGTGCATCCTGGGATGATGTGGGAGGAGAGCATGACGATGGAAGAAGAGGGAAATGACATGGGAGTGAAGGCATTGGTGGCACGTCTTGAGCTGCCGCCGAAGCGCATTCCTGCAGTGCTGGGAACCCGTCGTCTTGGGTGCGGACTGCTTTCTCTGTCTGATGTCGATATTGGGAAAAAGCAGCGCTACGAGCAGGTGCAGTTGCGTTGTGCCATGGAAGAGAGAATCCGACGATATGAAAGCGCACGTGCCGCGTTGATGCGAGCGACGGAAGAGGCGGGCATCGAAAATGCCCAACTTGCGGAGGATGATAGCGGTCGGTGATGAGAGTCACCACGACCACCAAGGGGAGAGCGCATCTTGTGTGTGCCTTACTTCTTTTCTGTTGTCGTTGTTGTTGTTCTCTCTTACTCATTGGAGTCATTTTGACTCCCTTCTTGACTGTGTAATTTTCATCGTCAAGAGTGAACAGAAGAGAGATGGAGAGAGAGAGAGAGAGAAAAGAAAAAAAGAAGAGGTTTTTTTATTTTGTGGAGATTTGCCAAACATGCGTGTCATGTCTGCTTTTGTGTGTGTGTATTTATTTCTTTGTCTCCTTCTTTTTTGTGTGCGTGTTGCCGCGGCACAGTAGCGCCCTTAGCAAGGCGCCTCCACTTCATAGCCAGGGAAAGCACCTGCATGGGGTCGCAGAGTTGAATAGAAACATACTTGCATTCGTCAGCCCCCCACTCAAGGACGGAGAGGGAACGATCCTTTATTTTTCTATCCCCGCGAATATATACATATATATATATATAAACGGCTGTTTTTGTCCGTCGGTTTGTGCGAGGCATCGTTGAGGATTCCGCAACGAGTGTAAAACGGCGTTAATTTGCAGGAACTGGAATCACGGCAGGAATGGGTGGAAGAGTGTTTGTCCCCATCATCCTACTACTGCTGTGGACGCATGTTGGCAAGTTTTTGGAGTTAACGGTGGTGGCGGCTGTCACGCCGGTCGACAGTCGTCAGCCACACCCCCATGGCACGGCGGCGCCCATCCCAGATGTCGAGAAGACACCGGAAATTCAGAGGAGACGTGACAAGGTAGGTGAAAGTGGGCTTGTCATCACCAAGCTCTTCGTCCTTAACCGCCATGGACACCGCACCCCGAACGCACCCTATTGGGATTATTGCCCCAGGGATCGAAAGAATCGGCGTAATTACGACGTGTACGCCGAGGATCTGACGGGGCTGGGCATGAAGGAGGAGTATGAATTGGGACAGTACCTTCGGCAAAAGTATGCTGACATTATTGGGGATCGATTTAATCGCAGTTTACACTTCTTCCGCGCAGTGGGGGAGCCCCGTATTTTACAGTCTGCTGTGGCTGTGTCGCAAGGGATATTTCCTGATGGTTTTGGCCCCGGTGGCTTTCTTCCTAATCGACCGCAGTTTGTCCCTGTCTTTTCAGATATGGATACACACGAGTATCTGCTGGACGACGTGCCCTGCTTTAGGCGTGCGGAGTCCGATGTGAAGCACTGGATCAAGAGCAGTCTTGCAGAATTTGTTGCTGATTCGAATGTTGCGGAGGTGTTAAAATACATGCGAAAAGTATGCGGAACCCCCACGAAAGAGCCAAATTCGTTGTTTGCATACATCAAAATCGTGGCTGATGGCATGATATTTAATACAGATTACGGCCTCAGTGTGTGTGGTGGGAGTATCACGCCCGAAATGCTCTTTAGAATTCGAAATGTATCCATGCAGTTTCTCCTGGCACGACTTTATCACACCGACGAGCAGCAAACGTACACGGCCGTGGATCTGCCGTACCGTTTCCTCCGCATAATGAAGCAGAATAGCCCTCCATCGGGGAAAAAACTGAATGATTTTGTGGACACACGACAGGAATCCGTCTTTTACTTTGTTCACCGTGAGGCTCTCTATGCATTTGCGGGATTCTTTGGTTTCATGTACAATGTTCCCGGCCTTCCGCGCAATGAGCTGCCTGTTGCATCCACACTTATCGTCGAGAGGCTGGAACGGAATCATTCATTGCGTCTTGACAAGGAGAGACTCACCTACGTGAAGTTTATTCTGAAGACGCCGTATCATGGAACAAGCACCATTCAAATACCGCGATGCAAGATACCCCAGTTATGTCGATTGGATGAGTTGCAGCATATCTACGATCAACGTGTCGCGCGCACGGGAACATGGGAAAAGCTGTGTAACTACACCTACTCGGAAATTGACCACGATACTGATATTCGCTAATATACATATATATATATATATGCTGTTAGCCGTGTGAGAGTTGACCAATGAAGTATGATTGTCTTTTGCAACTAATGTTAACTATAAGTGGGTGGGAAGGGAGTGGAGTGTAGTCGGAGACAAGATTGTAAAGGGAGAGAGGGAGTCGAAAAGGATGAGATTTAAAGAAGTGAAGTGTGTGGTTGTATACATGATTTTTCTTTTCTTCTCTTGTCAACACGACACATATGGCTACACCGTATGTAGAGCTGGTAGGCGAAGATGGAATTGGGCAGCGTTGATAACTGGCACCATCTTTTTTTCTTCCTGTTATTTTGCTGTTTTCCCAGCGAATATTACTCGGCCCTGGCACAATGTTGAGGTGGCCGGCTGCACCAGGGATATGTACACACGTCTTGTAATTTCTTGCATGTTTCCGCCATCCCTCCGTTTGTGTGGCTCATTGATGCATCATTCCCTTCTTTTTTTTTTATCCTTTACTGTGGGCGGGGGCATGGGCCGAGCGAAGAGGACTTGTTCACAGTACGCACCCTTCCCCAGTTTCCTCGCACACACATACACACAGTGGGAGGAGCGCAAAACCCCCAACGGGGACAGCTGAGGGCGGGCAAACAGGGGGAGGCGGAAGAGACGAATAAGTATAAAGGAAAAGAAATAAATAAATGGATCCGTCGAAGCGTATTTGTTTGAAAAACATCCCGCCGGACTGCACCAAGCGGGAGATAGCAGAATTCGTTCGCAGCCGCTCGGGAGCTCAGCCGCATAGCATTGACTTGGGGCTTGACAGGGAGGGACGTATCCGCCGCTATGCGCATTTTTCGGTCGAGGGAACGAAAAATGTTATTTCTGTGCTCTCCGGTGCCGTATGGCGTGAAGTGGCGGTGACGGCGCTTCCTGCAAAACCGCACTACATGTATCGTCTAGCCGAGGCGCGACGAAAGCGTGAACGGCAGGAGGCGGAGGAGCGGGGATGCGTGGAGGCCGCATGGAAGGAACGTACGGCGCGGTGGATGGAGAAGACGGGCGGTGAGCTGCGGAATGAAAAGCCACCCAAGTCTTTCTACGCCACGAGGCAGCGCTACGCCGCGGTCGCATCGGAGATTGCAAGGAAGCAGCGCGAAGAGCATCGGACAAAACGCGCCGCGTCGTTGAGCAGCGGAGGTTGTGGCATGAGGAAACATCGCCATCAGAAGGAGGAAGAAGTGGCAGCAGAAGAAGAAGAGGCTCCAGAAAAGAGGCATCCGCGGCAACGAGGAACGACCCGAAATAAATCAAATCTGCACTACAAGCACTCGCGTGGGGAAGGGAACGTCCCGGTAAGGAGGGAAAAGAAACCGAATACAGAGGCCCCTGTTGCAGCAACACAAAAAGAAAAGCAACAGCCCACCGGGCCCTCGAAAGAAGAGCGAAAACTTTCAGGACTGCAGGCGAAGTTGGCGGCCCTTCGTGCCAAAATGAAGTAATTGCGATGCCGTTGCGTGTGTGTGTGTGTGGAGCCAATGACTGATGTGTTAGGTTCTTAGTGGTCTCTACTCCTTTTAACACGAAGTTAAGGGAGAAGAAGAAATGCACTGAAATCCGTCACAGCTGAAGCTTATCTCTCATCTTCACTTGCTCTGGAACTTCTGCAAGGCAGCTACTCTTCTTTTTTCATTTTTTTGTACTTTTTTTTTCTGTGTGTGTGTGTGTCCGTGTGAGGCACGCAACTCCTTCAATAGAGAGAAGGAAACTGTCACGTCATAAAACGGCTGAAATCCATAATAATAAGAAAGTGGGGAAATCAGAAGGCGGCAGAGAGAAAGACACCCTCCTCGTGTCAAGGTTGGCACCATATTTTCTTCGCATTGTATTCTCTTCAATTGGAGAAGAAAGCTTGCGTGAACATTTGTACAATTTTTCATTATTGAAGTTGGCGTCTCTAATTGGACGCATGAGTGAGGTGTGGGAGCACACAGATAGTTCGTTTCGTAGTCCTGATGCAAACGCACCGCCCCAGCAAGCGCGCCGCACGTCCATTTCCAACAGTAGTGACAAAGATATGGAGGTCGGCTCCGTCGCCGTGAGTGTGTCGATTGCCGGTTCTGCCTCGGTGAAGCGAAATGCGGCGATGATCCCGTTTTCTATGGTGCCCGATGATGACGATGATACGGAGAGTGAAAGCACGAGTAGTTTTGAAGGCAGCGAAGACGATGATGGAGATGCGGGCGCATCCCACAGTATTAGAAGTAGTGGTGGTGGTGGTGGCAATGGTTTGCCACATAAGCGTGGAGGCGCAGACTCCACAGCGTTGTGCCTGAAAGACACCGACTCATGGAGGTCCGATTCCAGAGCGAGCGATGAGGAGGGAGTGGAATACCGCACGGGGGCCAAAGAAGCTTGTGGCAATACCACAGAGAAGAAAGAAGGCGTGTACTTCCAGCAGTGCAGCCCGTTGGTGGATACAGCAAACGCGTTTCTACCACTTCAAGGCAGGTTCCGATTGTGGGATTTTCCCCGTTTATTTTTTCGTATTTTATTCTTTTGCGATTGCTACACGGTTTGCAGCGCGATGTTGGTGTGCAGGCGATTCCATCAAATTGCCACGCACGATACGGTCTGGAGGAATATTCTTAACAGCATGAATCTACAGCCGCTTCTTGAATTGCCCAAGACACCAACGCAGGATTACTACCAATACTTCCTGGAAGAAGTCATCACTACAAGGGCCCTTCATGGCCAGTACTTATTTAGGGCAGTATCTCCAGAAGAAACGTGGTATGGTATTGAAGGGACCGGAGGCAAGGGCAGCGCGAAGAAAAATGCGCCGCAGCATTCTCCGATTTTTGACGATTCCCACTATCCCATCAATATGGCGATGCTGCTCATTTCTCCTGCCTCGCTCGGTCAAATGAACCACCCGATTGGTCGAATGCAGCTGCTCATAGAGTACAAGGACAAGAGAAAAGAGAATATTGAGGGCATAGCCCGTTTTTCGTGGCACCGTAGATGTTTTGTTTTTTGTTGCAGTTCAAATGTCCCAGGGGTACGTGGCCAAGTTTTTACAGTGGCCATCAGCACCGCACGGAAGCCGTGGTACAACCAGTCGATGGAGCAGTTTGAGGCGCACAAGGGCGGCCTTCGCTTCATTATGACACCTGTGCTCTTGGAGGGTGCTATCCCGGGATCGAGAATCACGGAGATGGACGTTGTTAGCGTTAGTTGCCCACGGACGTAGGAATCCAAGAAGAGGGAGAAGGATGTGTGAGTGAGAGTATTTTTAAAAAGCAAAAGAAGGATGAATATTTCACGTTTTTTTTTTCTTCTATTCTTACCAATTGATTAACTACACACACCTCCAATGTGCAGCTCTGATAAGCGTACGATGGAATTCAGTAGCAATGAATAACCCTACTTCCCGCGGGCAGCCATTACAAATGTATACATCTGCCCTTCCGGCCCGTAAAACTAAGTAACAACTACTCATCGAGTCTGACAGATGGGCAGCAGGCGCTTCGCTTCCTCTCTAGCAAAGAGAGTACTAGACCCTGGCACCACGTTGAGGTGGCCGGCTGTGCCAGGGAATGATTCATGTCACTTTATTGCTTCTGGGCGTTTGTGGCTGACGTGTTTTGCCCTTTGATTTCTTGTTTATATCAGTTTTTGTTTTGTTTTTTAGTTCTTCCAACTCCACTGAAGCGTTTTTTGGACGCGATCCCTTATGTTCGTGTTTCTGTTTGTGTGGAAAAGGATGGAGCGAGCTGTTTTGTCTATCATTTTGCTGACATGGTCAGTCTGTTTCTTTCTCCGCTTCCTTCCGCGTGCTATCAATAGAAGGGAGGGTTATCGAGGGATTCAACTTGAAAAAAAAAAAAAGAGTGTGTACATACGCCACAAAGGAAGTTTATTGCAAGTTTGGGGGAGGGGGCAATCTGATCCGAGCGTGCTTGGAGAAAAAGGGAAAGAAAACAGGACAGAAAAGGAGGGTAGAGGAAAGATGTGGAGTGCTGCTGTTGATTTTGTTAGAACGATTTCAGACCGCATCACGGGTGCTCTGTTAGGCACCCAAGCACGTATCATTGAGTTCTTCCTTATTTGGCAGTATGGAAAACAAGTTGAGGGACAGCGTAGAATGCGACTCCGTCATCTTCGACAGCAGCAGCAGCCTGCGGCACGTAACTCCCAAAGCACAGACTCACCTCGGACATCACATTCAGATGACGGAGAGGTGGATCACAGGCAGGCTGTGGCGGGTTTGACTCTTCTCGGCCAACGTGTGCCGAACCTCATGGGCGGTTATTATCGCCAAAAGCTGCAGTCAGTCTATGGAAGGCCGTTTTCTATGCTTGCCGAGGTGAAGCGGCGGAGGGAGCAAATCACCGAGGATGTCTGGTTGTACCGCCTCAACGTGCGCACTTCACCAACGACAAGGTCGGTCGAAGGAAGCACAGTGTCCGCCACGGCGTCTCATTCAGGCCCACACACGAAAAATGCTCATGCACAGTCGTCTGAATCAGACGATATCCCCCTCTTGGTGTGGCTAGTGATGCCATGGGAATGTGAGTCTTCTGTTACCTTGCGTTTTGTTTTTCGGTTAGCGTATTCTTTGAGTTGCGATGCTGTCCTTGTAAAAGTTCCGATGGATGGTACTAGTGGACCCTCGGAGACAGTCAAGCTTCTCTTTGATGCGCTAAAGGCTGGAAAACGTAAGACACATGCAAGACGCATTCTCATTGGAGGAAGCGAACTTGCGGCGATGTTTGTGCTTCTCCTGCTGGAACGTCGCTGTCCTTTGCTTCAGGTAGGTGCTTACGCGGCAGCAGACCCGGAGGTGGCGCGACGTGCATTTTGTCAGGGGGTGATTCTTGTTGACCCCTTTGTTGGTTGGGAGACGTCTGTGCCCCCGCGTCCGACCACCACAGGCCGCTCGTCTTCTCGTGGGAACGCTGGTTATTTTGAAAGCCGTGGCCGGCCTCCACCAAATGCGGGAGATGTGCTCTCAGCGAAGGATCGCTTCAAGCAGGTGGTGCTCAGCAGCAGCGGCGGTTGTATCCAGCAGTGGTTTCCCTCACCCATAACGTATGAGGCACCTCCCATAGTTGTACTTGTGGACGAGGGAGGATTCTGGCTGCGGGAGCAGTGTGACTTCAATGCGCGAGTGGATCGTTGTGGCGCTGAGGAGAATGGCGAGCGGGTCTTTTTTCTCCCGTACACCATTGAGAGGGCAGCCGCAGGGACGTTGGTGTCGTTAAGCTGCCAAATGGAAATTGAGCGGTTGTGTCGCATGGTGGAGAAATTTCTTGGGGAACTTCTTCAACGGAAAGAACCAAGCACAGCTTCAACGTCGTCAGGCGACTGTCAGCAGCTCCGCAGGGACGATGGGGAGGTACGATCACGCCTAAGTGAGGGGGAGGCAACATTTCTTGCTGGATTTGTTGCCTAAAAAAAAAAAAATGAAGGCCGAGAAGAAAAAAGGAATATGTATGTATATATATATATTATAGATATATACGTATTGCATTTGTCTTGTTTTTTTGCGGTATGATCTAAAAAAAAAAAAAAAAAAGGGGAGGGAGGGGGGGGGGGGGGAATAAAAGAATGCGGAGGTGTGGCTTTCATCTGATGGGATGTGTAGAGCATCGTGTTCTCATCAACAGAGAAGCATCACGTATTGAAAAAATTGTTATAACTGCTGAGGAATTTTTATGCCGTTCTTTTCACCGTCGTTAGTTTTTGTTGTTGTTTTTGGTTTATTATTTGCAGTTGTTGTGTTGTTTTGTTTTTTTTTTTCTTATATTGTTGATTTCTGTTTTCATTTGTTGTTGTTGTTGTTGTTGTGGCAGCGCCGTTTCTTTGTTTGTTTTTAGAAGGGGAGAGAAGGAGGAAGAGAGAGCGAGCTGCGTTACTTTTGTGTTGTTTTCTGTTGTTGTGGTTGTTTTTTCCCGTGTGTTTGTGTGTCTTTTCTTATTCATGTACTTCTTACCTTGATGCGCACTTAGCGGCACTCGGCAACGCACCCGCAATAATGTATACGTCCGGTCTTTTATTTAAAGTAAGGAAGAAGAAAAGTATTTTATTTTGATTTCTTGCTGTGTTGATCGGTTTGCTTGTTTCGTTTTGTCTTTGATTTTGCCTTTGACGTGCCTGGAAAGGGAAGGAGGGAAGACCACCACGTCATGTAGACGAGGCGGTAACGTATATACCTATACCTATATATATATATATGAAGAGAGAGAGAGAGAGAGAAGGAGGGGGGGGGGGGGGGAATTGTGTGTGTTGGCGTGGGGGTGACAATTGTTGCTGTGGTGCTTTTTGTGGGAGGGAGAAAAGGGGGGAAGGGGTAATGTTAACAAGGAAGTTTGTTTGTTTTTCTACCAGTTTTTTTTGCTCTCCGCTTTTTAGTTGTTGTTTTTCTCTCCTTCCCTCTTTTCCTTTTTTTTTTTTTTTTTTTTTTTTTTGGAAGGGGAGGGGAAAAGAAGGTGTATGCTGGCTTGCAGCGTTGGAAGAATGTGGGATGTATCAGCGCTGTTGGTGCTGGCTGCGCCTCGTACGTGCACGCACCCACGCAACACTTATCTACCTCAATGCGTTTAAATTTGTTTGTGCCACTTTGTTTAGACATGAAATAATGTCATATTCCCAAACCTTCAAAAAACTATATCTACATATATACAATTTTCTCTTTACCTATGATAATAACAATATACATTTAAACGCATTGTGGCGGCGTTGCATGTTTGGTGCGGATGTGTACGAGATTACCTCTCAGAAAAAATTTTTTGCCGTTTTTTGTTGTCGTTGTTTTTACTTTAAGAGTTTGCAAGAGGGACGGGCGTGGCTCAACACGTGTCCGGCAAAACAAATCCCATGATTATGATAAATAATATCTTTTTCTCCCACTGCTCTCATTGCATCTCTAGTTTTTTGCACGACGTCTGTCTTGAAATGCAGGTTTTTGCACTCAGGTGCGTGTGTAGGATGCTATCCATGAGACAGCCGTCAATTTTTCGGAAGTGAAATAGCGGTTCAGCAGCGTGGCCCGACAGCGGTTTTATTTTACACACGCCATGCCGAGGGCATCTTGAGCTTCTCGGAGGGCGCACGGTCGGCCCTGCGCACCGAATGGGCGGCATGGTGAAGGGAGAGGAATATGAATTTGGTGTCAGCCGTAAGGTTTTGGCCCTGAAATTCTCCGCAACGTCACGAGGGCCACAGCGGGAGGTGCCGAGGCGGCAAGAATGCAGTTTGTGGCGCCGCGCCATGCAATGACTCGTGTTTGGGTTGTCACAGCCTCAAGATCAAGCGAGCTTGCCGCCGCATGCGCTGACTATTGGAGGTGAAGTGTTGGTGGCTGGTGGTTTCTGTTTTTCTTTTTGTGGCAGTATGCATTTTCTTGCGGCTGTTTTTTTCTTGTTGGTTGTATCGTCTGTAAGCGATGTCCCCTCTTTCTGTGTGTTTGGTCCTTTTTTTTTTGTCTTTTATTTGCCTTTTGAGGTTTACTCGCCCATTCTTTGGTTAGGCATATTGGCACGGCCGCGAGCAACACACATGAAGTCCACCAGTTACCAACCCATCCGTGTGCGGACGCTAGAGATTCTGTGGCACGGATGTGAGCGCGATGAGGAGGCGGTGCAGCTGGGTTTACAGAGTGTCGCCATTGAAGGTATTGTGTCAATCGACTACAACACTCAGCAAGATCGCATTGTCACTTGCGGCGGTGACGGCTATATACGTCTGTGGCAGCTGAACCCAGAAGCCACCGATAGTTGGCTTGCCAACAGTCAAAGCGACATGACGGCATGTGTCAGTTTTGTCACCGGTATGCGGACGTCGTGGATGCCCTTGACGGCGCGTTGGTCCCCACACGGAAGTATGATTGCGTCCGCCCATTGTGATGGGAAAATATGTTTGTGGTGGCAAGAGAAGCGTGAGGACGGGAAGAAGGAGGAGGAGTGGAAGGACTATCGACATCTTTCTGGCCATGTGATTGACGTCTATGATTTGTGCTTTTCGCCCGACTCGCGGTATCTTCTTAGTGCTGGTGGGGACGGCAGTGTTGTCATTCACGACCTTGAGGGCTCCACCGTGCCGGTGGTGCAGCTGACGGAGGTGCACCACAAGTTCTGTCGTGGGGTGGCATGGGACCCTTGGTGTAAATACGTCGCCAGTTTTGGTGGAGGACCTCCGCTGCTTTTCTTCACTCATACCGCAAAGACAACAGGGGCGTCACGACGGGTGCACTTGACAGGACAGCGCAAAGCGCCAGGGGATTATATTGGGGAATCTTGCGCCACAACGTTTCGGCGCTTTGGATGGTCTCCCGATGGATCGTTGGTGGCCGTTCCATACGGAAAAGCATCGCATCATTCTAACAGCCAGAATCAACATCATCAAAATAAAAATAACAATAAAGATGCCAGTGAAACGCGTCGAGGGGACGATATGATCCACTGCGTCTATGTGTACACTCGCAATGCCTTGGACAAGGTGGCAGCTCGGCTGACTATCCGCGGGTACTCCGAGGTGCGTGGTGTGCTGTGGGCGCCGTGCTTCCTGCAGCCCCTTGACGAAGAAGACGGTGACGGTGACAGCGACGGCGGTAACGGCAGCGGTGTGGAAAAGAGTGGGAGAATCGAGGGTGAAAGAGAAGGGGCGCGGGGTGGGGAAGAAACGGCAACGAACAGAGCAGAGAGGCGGCGATGCGCTTTGGCTGCTCGTGGCTCATGGGGACCGGACAGCTACCGTATGGCAATGGCAGTCTGGACAGCGGATTCGGTGGTTGTGTACACGACGGACAGTGATGTACGCCACAGTGACTATACAGACCTTCACATGCGCAGCATCTCTGACGTGGCGTGGAGTCCCAATGCCAGATATCTGTTGACCGCCTCGCTTGATGGCTACGTCTCTGTCATATCCACCGGTGGCTCTCTTGGGATTGCCCACAAACTCCCACTCTTCTCCACTGAGCCTGTGACGGTGGGTTTGTGCCGCATGATGTCAGAGATCCACAGCCTCGGTGAGAAGCTGGAAACTGGAGGTCGGTCCGCGGCGAACAGTGCGAATGCGGCAAAGACCTCTTCGGGTGGCGGTGCCCTGTTGCATGCGCCTGTCAAGAAGAAGAGGAAGTTGGCGGAGGAGCCGCAGAAGCGGCAGCAAGAAAGTGTACAAACTAGTGGGGCGATACCGCTCAGTGAGCTTTCGGAACTGATGGAAAACATTTGAGAATTGCAGCACGATCTTGTATTTTCTTAGCCACCAACTTACTTCCTGTTTTGGGGGGGCTTTTCTTCTTCTTTTTCTCACGCTGCTTTACTTTTTTGCCTCTGACATATAGAGTCTGTCACACAGAAAAGATACCGTTGTCTGAGTATTGCTGCTTCTAGCTGCCCTGTCCAAAAATCTTTGGTTCGCATCTTTACGTATTATGCATACATACAAAAAATGTTACGTCACCAGAACATTTTCTGTTTGCGGACTATTTTTTTTTTTTGCTGCGAGGAGACACGCAAACGAACTGCCTTTTTTCTATTCCTCTTGCATTTCATGTGCATGTCCATTTCACTTGTGTATTCGTATCACCCGTGCGTCTACGCATGTATTTTATTCACTGCCTTGCTTGTTTCCTGTAATGTGCACTGTCTGCACCGTCACGACCTTCTTAGAATCCGTAAGGAAAGAGGAAGAGGGAAAAGAATAAAAGGCAAAAAAAAAAAAAAAGGGAAGTGAGAGGAAAATTTGTGCATAGACGCGGGAAGGAAAGAAATTGTTTCTGAGTGGATCAGACAGATTTGGCAAAATAGACGTTTTACGATATTTTTGAGGATTCATGTCTATGCTTCACGATGTGTCAGGCGGCGTGCTCACGTCGAAGAATCATCTGAAAACTGCTGCGGGAGTCGCTACAGACCCCGGTGGTGATGTGCGCGGGAACATTGCGCGAATTACCGCGAGGGCCCGTCAACTGCTTGCCGATGACACGGACACACGTGTGGTGCGTAACGGCCTGAGTGCATATGAGACATCGCGGAAAGTGGCGGCTGATATCTCGACGCGTGCGAGGACCCCCGGGCAAACCGGCCCGACGCAGGCATCGGTAGAACTCTTCATGGCCAGCCTTGGGTTTAACCTCAACGAGCAACAGCGTCTCCTGCAGCAGCTGCAGGCCAACCAGTTGCCGCTTACAGTCACGGGTGATGTTTGCACGGCCAC